ACAACCCGTTCCTGATGAACGTCTACAGCCTGAAGTGCCGTCCAGAAAAGGAGATAGATTAGGGAGCTCACTCCAGAATTCAACCCATCGCCTTCCTCTGAAGCAGCTTAGAGAGAAGCCAATGGAAGGGGGGGGCTGATCCTTCGGAGCCAGGGAGCTCACTCCAGAATTCAACCCATCGCCTTCCTCGGAAGCAGCTTAGAGAAAAGTCAATGGAAGGGGGGGGGCCTGATCCTTCGGAGCCCGAGGGCAATGTAGGAGGATCCCTTGTATTTTCCCCTCTGCTTTACTTCTAAAAAAAAAAAAAGTATTGATCCCTGGTGATGCATATTTAGGTCTCTTCTTGAAAGCAGAGAAGGAGAACCAAGAGCCTCATCTCTTTCTCTCCCTGAATGATGGCCTTCAGTGAAAAGATTCGAAACAAAAGTTTAAGGAATAATCTTTATCTAATTCTCTTAGGAAATGTAAACAGGACATCCTAAGAAAACCATAAAACTACGAAGGCTACATAACAAAACATGCCAAAGAGTAAAAGCAAGAAGGAGGGCGGCAGGTCTCAGGCAAGCACACATGGTCTCTGCCTCGCTCCATCAGTCAGCACCAGGGAAGAGTGGGCTTGCGAGAGAGCAAAGACAATTAATCCCCTTTTATAGTGCCTCCCAAAAAGAGAGATAGGTGAAGTCTTTAAACCCATTAACCTGCCATGGGTTGAGTGTTGGATCTTGCCAGATCCCAATACCCCTTCTCAAGATCTAACATGAATACATTTAGGCTACATAATCCATAACATGATCAAGTAGCTTTTACTTCTGGGACTTCTCAGTCCACGTACTGCTGAAGTCTACCTTGAAGGATACTGAACATAACCTTTCTAGAGTGTCAAATGAGTGCAAATGTACGGTAATTGGAGCATTCTTTGGCACTGCCCTTCTTTGGGATTGGGATGTAGACTTTTACAATCCTCTGGCCACTGCTGGGTTTTCCAAACTTGCTGGCATATTGAGTGTAGCACCTTAACAGCATCATCTTCTAAAATTTTAAATAGTTCAACTGTATGCCATCACCTCCTCTGGCCTTGTTGTTAGCCATGCTTTCTAAGGTCCACTTGACTTCACTCTCCAGGCTGTCTGGCTCAAGGTCAGCAACCACACTACAGTATCTGGGTTGTCCAGGATATCCAAATCTTTCTGAAATAATTCATCTGTCTCCAATTTTCCTGAACAGATCTCTGGTTTTTCCTTTTCTATAATTTTCCTCTCTTTCTTTGCATTGTTCATTTAAGAAGGCCCTCTTGTCTCTCCTTGCTATTCTTTGGAAGTCTGCATTCAGTTTTCTGTAACTTTCCCTATCTTGTGGTTGTTGTGGGTTTTTCGAGCTCTTTGGCCATGTTCTGAAGGTTGTTCTGTGCTCTGGTGCTGTCTTCTGAAGATGCTGGCCACAGAGACTAGCAAAACGTTAGGAAGAACAACCTTCAGAACATGGCCAAAGAACCCGAAAAAACTACAACAACCATTAGATCCGGGCTATGAAAGCCTTCGCAAATACATTTCCCTATCTTCCTTGCATTTAGTTTCCCATCTCTTCTCTGCTATTTGTAAGGCCTCATTGGACACCCACTGTCCTTTTTTGCATGGGATGGTTTTTGTTGCTGCCTCCTGTACAATGTTACGAGCCTCCATTCATAGATCTTCCGGTACTCTGTCCACTAAATCGAGTTCCTTAAATCTGTTCTAAACTTCCACTGTGTATTCAGAAGGGATTTGGTTTAGATTATACCTGACCAGCCAGTGGTTTTTCCTACTTTCTTGAGGCTGAGTTTTGCTATAAGAAGCTGATGATCAGAGCCACAATCAGCTCCAGGTCTTGTTTTTGCTGACCGTATAGAGCTTCTCCATCTTTGGCTGCAGAGAATATAATCAATCTGATTTTGGTATGGCCCATTTGGTGATGTCCATGTGTAGAGTTGGCTCTTGTGTTGCTGGAAAAGAGTGTTTGTGATGACCAGCTTGTTCTCGTGACAAAACCCAATTAGGCTTTGCCCTGCTACATTTGGAACTCCACGTCCAAAATTACCTGTTTTACTTTTTACCTCTTGACTCCCTACTTTAGCATTCCAGTCCCCTAGAATGAGAAGAACATCTTTCTTTGATGACAGTTCTAGAAGGTGTTATAAGTCTTCATAGAATTGGTCAATTTCAGCCTCTTCAGCATAAACTTGGATGACAGTGATGTTGAAACATCTGCCTTGGATTCGTATTGAAATCATTCTATCATTTTTTAGATTGTATCCCAGTACAGCTTTTCCCACTCTTTTGTTGACTATGAGGGCTACTCCATTTCCTCTATGAGATTCCTGCACAGAGTAGTAGATATGATAATCTTCTCAATTGAATTCGCTCATTCCCATCCATTTTAGTTCACTGATCCCCAGGATGTCAGTTTATTCTTGACATCACAACTGTTTGTCCACATCCAGCTTACCAAGGTTCATAGATCTTACATTCCAGGTTCCTATGCAGTATTTTTCTTTGCAGCATCGGACTTTCCTTTCACAAAGACATCAGGTAAAGGTAAAGGTTCCCCTTGACATTTAGTCCAGTCGTGTCTGATTTAGGGAGTTGGTCATCCTTGTCTTCAAGTGGTTGAGCCAGTGTAGAGACAGCTTCCGTGGTTATGCGGCCAGGGCGACTAGACACGGAACGCCGTTACCTTCCCACTGTGGTGGTACCTGTTTATCTTTTGTACTGCTAGGTTGGCAGGAGATGGGACAAGAGACGGGAGTTCACTCTGACGGGTGGATTCGAACTGCTGATCTTTTGACCTTGTACGCCAGAGGCTCTGTGGTTTAACCCACAGCACCACCACGTCCCAAAGAAATACCAAATAGTAAAAGCAAGTAGAGAGGTGCCAACTCAGGCAATGCCCACGGACCTAGGCAAGCACACATGGTCTCTGCCTCTCTCGGTGAAGAGCGGGTTTGAGAGCGAGTGAGCAGCCAGGACAACGAATCCCCTTTTAGAAAGCCCTGCAGAATGAGAGGGACAGGTGAGGTCTTTAAGCCCATTAACCCACAATGGGGAGAACGTTGGCTCTTGCCAGATTCCGATCCGGCTCACCCTCTTCCTCCAGTCCAGGTGGTTGGGGGTTGAGATGAGGTCTCTTCTGGCTTCTCTATCCAAACACATGTCCTAAGACTCTTATCCAAAGAGCAGGCAGTTTGAACAGACAGGTAAGGAGTGGGAAAACAAGATTAAAAAAACAATTAGCCTCAAAGATTAAAAGAATTAAATGTGGAAGAACTTGGATGATCACCTGGCAGATCTGATTTGATTTTTATTCCGGACTGGAGCTGGGGGTTGGACTGGATGGCCTCGTAGTCCCTGTCTGACTTCAGTTTTCTATGATTTCCTATGAGGACTGGATGGCCTCGTAGTCCCTGTCTGAGAGATGGCAGCTGGGAAAAGTGTGAAGCTGAGAGAGTCAGCTGAAGGCGCGCAAGCCATGTTACAGAAAATGAAGGTGCAGCTGGGAGGAAGCTCACCTCTGAGCAGATCGGAACAGGAAGGCGAAAATGGAGGTTAGCTGTGAAAACATGCAAAGCTGAGACGAGGAGGTTGAAGAAGCCATTGAACGCACATCAGCTCCAGGCTTCCCCAGGACGACCATTGATTTCACCATCTGTTTTAGTTGACCGTTGTTGTTGTTGTTATGGGCCAAACCTCCAGGCTGTCCTGTCCTCAACAGCTGTGGTCCGTTCTTGGAGTAACATCAGTGCTGTATGTAACAAATCCATCTGGTATTTTGGTCTTCCTCTTTTCCACTTACCTTCAAGCTTTCCCGAATGCAAATTAGTTTTCTTGGGGACGCCTTATTTGTTTTTATTTTTAAAAGAAGTAAAATGGTTATGAAAGCTATTCTAAGATGTACCACTATACTTGATAATTTCATTATTTCCCTTAAAAACTAAGAAATTGTCACATTCCCACCACATGTGACAAGAAGTACCTACATCCTGGCCATTTCTCTAACTGAAAAGAATATTACCCTTACAATTCAATTCAAGTAAGACCAATGTGGATCCCATTATAGTCAATAATTATTGCACTTCGTTATTACTGCAAAGGTGAGGGCCTGGGGTCTAGCTAGGCTTCACGGATCCGGTTACTGCCTGTAGTGGTTGCAGACTGGACTTTCTACTTCTACCAGTGCTGGCATCTGAGTAGTTCAGAAACATGGTCTACGTAAGTCATTCCAACGCCTTTGGGAGGATTTACCACCTGAAATCCGCCTTGCCCCCTCCCTGATGCCCTTTAAAAAGTTACACCTGGGCAGTTTCCATTCTGGGACACAAGCTAAAGATACATCCTTTCCCTGTTATTACTTGATTTGGTTATAGATTTGTTGGTGAACGCTATCAGGAGAGGTAACTCAATTTATTAATTAAATACAGGACACTGGCGAAAAAGATAAGCCTGTGATTCATTTATTTGCTGAATCTGCTTTGTTAACAATAGAGGACCCGTATAAGGTTAAGGATCGTATAAAGCTCATTTGGAAGAAACGGGTGCTGGCACACGATCCGTCTCCCCAGGCGCTCCTCTGCCCAGTGGCCCAAGAGGATGCCAAGAGGGGGGCTGGGGTGTCGTGGAGCCCAACTGGGCCCCATTCATGGCCCCAGAAACCTTTCTCGCTTGCAGGGACATCATCATCCTCCCCTGCCCCATTTCCACCCCGCCCCACGCCCTCTTCCTTCTGACTGACTTCAACCACAACCGACACAGGATACGGGAGGGACCCAGAGGGCGGGCTCTTCCTCCCCCTCTTAACCTCCGGCCAGGTCCGGTCGTGGATTGACCCTTCAGAGCCGTTGGCCTTGCAAAAGACGTCTCGTCCACCTCCTGGGGCCGACATGGATGGCGGGAGCTGGAAAAAGGCCTAAAAGGGGAGGAAGGGAGACCCTCTCCTCCCTCCCTCCCGCTCGGTGCCCTCCACAATCTCACCTGGTGCCAAGGGGTCCGTCTTCTTCGGTCACCTTCTCTAGGGTCACTTTGAGGTCTCCTGCATTTTAAAAGGTTGTCTGTTTGTTTTTTAATTATTTCAGTTCTTGCAGATCTCGCCCATCGCTGTGAACTGTCTTTTATAAGATAAATAAACAAATCAATCATTCAATAACTAAATAATAAAATGTGGGGATTTTACCTGGGGAAGGCCCCAGGCCTTGTAGGAGAGGGGGGAGGCATCTGGATATGGCCCCCTCCCCTCCAACCGACTTTCTCATCCCTGCACACCCACCCCATGCCTGGTATCCCCCCAAGCCCCCTTCCCCCCCAGGGACGTTGCAGCTCCTTCCATCCCCTCCCTTCAAAGCTTGGGGACCCAAAGGGGGGGCGATGATATCAGTGGAACGGATTATCATTGTCTAGTGAGGCACCACTGTATTTTTTCCCACCCGGCTCCTTCTGTTCTCTCCCCTCCTCTTTCCTACTTGGTGGTCTTTCTCATCTCCATCCTGATTCTCTTTCAACCCGTACCAGCTTTCTCAGGGGCTAGAAATGTCTAAGCTCCTATCGGTACTCCCTTTATGCTTCCTTCCCTCTTTCCTCCTCTCCTCGTTAGATTTTCTGTCAAAATACCTTGTGGTGTTCATTGAGCTTCTTGTTCTCTTCAGGATGCTTCCAATACTCTCTTTTCAATCATCTGAAGCTTTTATAGTCCTGCAGAGGGAAGTAGCCCATGGAGTTGTTCAGAGGACCTCTATGGAAATGAATCTTCCAGCACTACCTCCAGATTTGTATCTGGGGCAGATTAGGGACCTATACAGTCTAAATATGGCATTATAGGCTACAGATACATTTTTAGAGAACCTTTAATTATCAGTGTTACAAAAACCCCAAATAATCCCAAAGGACCTTGTTTAATATTTGTGCTGCATTTTGAGTGGCTAGGTTTCAATGTTCATTCATGGAGCCATGCTAAAGGACATTATGGGTGCATAACACACTCATAATGTTATAGATATAAAAAGTAAATCAATAATGATATAACAGTGATTTTAGAATCAAAATCTAAAACCATAGCTTGAAATCAAATTTTAACTTATTTTAATAGATACATTCTTGCTACAAACTGCCTTTAAAATATACACACACAAAAACATTGCCAACATTTAATTCCCACAAATTTCACATATTATCAGAAAGCAAAGTAACTATACTGCTTATATACTGCTCCAGGTTACACACTGGAGCCTCCCTCCTCTGGAGCTGGTTACTCAATTTACTGGCCTCAGAATGATGGAAGGCTGAGTCACCCTTGAGCCAGTTACCTGAGCCCATCAGGATCCAATGGAGGTCATGACTCATGACCAGATGCTGGATTGCAGTACTGCAGCTTAACCACTGCACCACAAGGTGTGTGCAATGCTGGCAGAAGTCAGGGCACAGGATTCTTGGGCACTTACCTAGAGCTCCAGTACTATCATTGGGTCCATCACACACCAACAGTTCTAGCATTTCCAGGATGTACAGCATGTCCAAACAGATCAGGTGCAGCTAGTAAATCTTGATTCTTCCAGGTTTGGTGGATCCAGATGCTATGTGGCAATACCTGCCAAATACTAAAGCCACAGAAAATTTTAAAACCATGGCAACCTAGCAAGAACCATGCTGAAAGTGCATGGCAAAATCTAAAGGCAAAATCTAAAGATTTTAGGGTGGGGTAGAGAAAAGATAGAGACACAGCTCTTTCTGCTTTCTAGTTCCAGCCTGCCTCTCTGTTTTAAGATTACTATATATGGTATTAACTTATCTAAAAGTATTTTTAAACACTCTTTATCTTTCTCCTTACTGTCTCCTACATTATGTCAGGTGCTTGCTTACATATATGACTTACCTTTTAAAAATGCTGCAGCCCTAGAACAAGATGTATTTATTTTGGTTATACTCACAAATGAAGAGTTTCCAGCAAGTCTAATGGTTCTCCAGTCCTTAATTATTCACAGCACTTTCATCAGGCTTCTCAACAGAAGTAAATGTTTCTTATACAGTAATATACAGTAATTATACAGTAATTCTTTTAAAAATATATAGTTCTCTGTCTTACATAAACCATGTCTCCTTTTCTTAAATTCTTTCTCCATTTGGGATTTCAAACTAATACTCTGGTAAGGTGTGTGGGGTGAAAATATCAATTCTCAAACCACTCACATCAGTCTAGTCACACTTATTATGCTGAATTAATTCCCCATTCCCTTCAGATTACAAGTAAAAGCATTTAACAGTTCAAACACACTTAAAGCTCTTAAGGGGGTGGGAGGCCATGGATTGGTATTAAGAAACAACACTTCTAGGCATTCTAAAGGGTGTTCATAAAATTATTTATCACTTTTGGAAATCTTTGAGAAAATACTCTGCAGTAATCGCATTTGCTGCTTTCAAACCAGCTCTAGAGCAAACATATTTGGCCATTTTGGATGAAAGAAGCATTCCACCCACATTGCTTTAGTCTAGGGTGCCTTCTTGCATATCACCAAAAAACCTGGAAATATAGTAGCAACAACAAAATAGAAAGTGGAAAGAAAAGATTTCTATAAACTAAACAGCATATATAGATGTAAATTCAGAATTCATTACTATAATTTAAAACATAAATACATCTTACTGTTGTGGTGAAGCTAATGACCTATGCACCTGTTGGCCACATGATTCAATTATGAATGGGAATCCTCCAGGTCTTTTGGCCCTTTGTATTAAAACCAAACTTGAATAGGAGAACTCTTCAACCAGATGACCCATATCTATACAACAGCACACTTGGCTAGCCTACTTAATTCAGTTCAGGATTGGTTTTTCTTCTCAGCAACTGCTAACCAATAACATCCCAAACCATTTGACCTCTTGAGCAAAATGGCACCCAGCCACTATCACACTAAGAATAACATCCCTTCCATTCAAACCAAGGAAGTTATTTAGCGCAGGTGGCAGACCAATCCCTCAAGCCCCGCTCTCTATGGCTACCAAGAAAATATAATTAAGTAACTAATGATTTGCTGACTTTTCATAACATCCCAGATATGTATCTTCAAATGACTGCTCCACCCTGCCAGTAATGGGATACATCCTACCAAAAGACCACATGAAACTAGCGTACTTGCTTAAAACAAATTATCAGATGGTATGACCATTCACAATGCTGCTAGTAAACCAAGAGTAAAAATATATATTCCTGACCAATAGGAAACCCATATAGAATTGATACATGTGAGCCAGGCTTGTCCTTTTCACCACAGGGGCTCGTGTGCCTTTACCAGTTGCACAAAAAAAGCAGACACTCCATACATGCCGATTTTCCAGGCATAAAAATACGCTGCTGGGGGAAGCCGTGTTTGTTGAGTTTACCTACCTCTATGCCGCACGGTTATTAAAGGCACAGGAGCCCTGAGAAAAAAAAGAGATTGGTACCTCCCACTGTGCATCAGACTGCCACTTCTTCCTTGGTCCCGCTTCCAGGCAAAGGAGCCTGTTACCTCCCAAGTGAGTACAGTATGTAAAGTTTTCCCTGACAAGGAGATAAATGGCTGGACCTCAGGCCTCTTTATACAGAAATCAATTCCTGCACAAAGACACTCATTCTGTAATGGTGTTCAGGACTCAAGGCACACAAACTCGTCTTGACAGTTTTCCTTAACAGCAAGCACCAAATCAGCTCAGTGGTTTGGGAGTGGGTTGCATGGCGCTCAATTCAACTTCCGTACTAGTTAAAATGCACAGGATCTGTTTGCATGTCAAAACGGTCAGTGGTGCTTAACCAATTGTGTATGGCATTGGAGCAGCAACTCTGCATAGGGTGCAGCCTTAATCCTGAGGATACTTTGAGCAGCCCTTTGACTTTTCCTGTGGATCTTACTGCCTTGTGCATAAATGAAACTGGAAGAGCTTCCCAGCTGTAGTCTGAAGTGACTCACACAAAAGAAGCAGATCTGGATGAATCCTGTTTGGCAAGAATATCAGCACAATCCCATGCATACTTAATTAGCCGTAACTTCCCTTGTACTTGATGGTCCTCAGTTCCAAAATGTTAATGCAGTTTGCAGCTTAACAATTCAATGCAAATACAATACATTTCAGGTTTGCTCAGAAGTTAAGTCTGAATGAGTCCAACAAGTGTCACTCCTTAAGTAAGTGGGCTAGGACCAGCTCAAGACAATTTGCTGTCTAAAACAGAAAAAAAAATGCCCTCCACACCTGCCTGCCCTGAGGTACATAGGAGCTAAATCCGGTCTTGAAAAGTGCAACAGAAAATCAAATAAAAGTGTTTCCTTAACAGCAAAACTACTGCAGTGTTATATTTAAAAGAAAAAAATTAATGAACTTCTGTGCTGCTTCACTGTGCCCGATGACAGAACCAATTTAACATAGCTAAACTCACAATCATTCCAGGAAAACCATTTGTGAGGTGTGACTTTTTTTTTCATTAAAAAAAAAAGACCCAAGGAAAGGAAAAGGTGTGATGATGAATATCCCAACTCCAGCAGATGGCACCACAGCCCAACCTTTGGCACTGAGGAATTGGGAGCGACAGGACTATGAGGCCGTAAAATAATAAAACCTTGTGGTACCCGGGCTGTCGTTCCTTTCTATCTAGTTTTTGACTGAAAAGAATCCCAAAGAGACCTCTTGTGGATGCCACAATCCTTAGCAATGTCACCTTGCCTTCCAGGATTCATTTTAAATCCCTGCTGTGCTAGTGAGGAGGGAGGAAACTAAATATAAATATTATACTATACCTCTCTATTTGATCACTCATCTAAGCTAAAATGGGAGTCAAAGAAATAAGGTGCTTTACCTCAGAGGCAGAGCTAATACATGCAGTCCTGGCCCATGCCTATACATACGTATATACATATAGAGAGTAACTATTCTAAAGCATGTGAATACAGGGCTGTATTTTTACATGCCATGAAAATACTCTTAGTTGGGGAGCCTCTGCAAAGACTAGGACCAAGGAGCAAATAAATTAACAATGCAACCATGACAAATTATGTATATTATATGCAAATTTGCATATAATTCCATTATATACACATTATGTATATAAAGAGAGGTGGGGAACTGCTTAGCAATATGGCACTAATGCCGGCTTCTTAGTTACACATTCCTAATGGGATGTATATAGCTGAACTAGTTACTAAGATCATAGATGAGTTGCAATTGGTGCATGCCCCCACCCCCAATATTTTGGAGTGATAGACACCCTCCCCCCCATAATCAGCCTTCCATCTCGAACTAGGCTCAGCTGAGCTAGAACTGGACAACATCTTAATTCTGGTTCAATACTTCATCCTGGAGACCCATTGTGAAGAGGATTAGTCCAGACAGAGAAGTAAAGGAAGAGAGTACTGTAGTGAGGGACCATACAAGGAAGAAGGACCATATATGTTCTCTGTTCCCGAGAGAGAGGAGGGAAGGAGAGGGGGGGGAGGAGATATGAGCAGGGACGAGGAAGTCCAGGTTTAGAGATACAGTTGGGAGAAATGGATCCTTTAGAATGGACTGTGTATGTATACCTGAGAGGGAAGGGACCCCGGAAGAGGGTGGTGAGACCAGATCCTATCCCAGCAACGCAGACACTTCTCGAGGGAGACTGGACTTGACACTCGTGCTGTGGAACAATTTGCGTGCAAAGTAAGCTGTGACTTGGAAGTCAGAGGCAGCACCGCTGGGATTCTTTTGATGTTGCTATGGTAGGTACAGTATAGGAAATAATAACGCTAGCTTAACTTACAGTACTGTGGAGGGTTATAAGAAGACAATACATCGGAAGTGCTATGAATATTTGAAAGTCCTCTGTAAATATTTATTATTAGGACCATAAGAAGAAATGTCCTAGGTCAAACCCAAGACCTATCTAGGCCAGCAGCCTGTTTTCCAGGTACCATCCAGACACCTGTAGAAAAACAGGTCAGAAACGACATAACAACAAACCAAACTTAAAAGTCACCAGCAACTGGTACTATATGAGATGGATTGACTCAAATAAAGTAACCAGAGCTTTTAGGTTGCAAAGGCCTGAGCAGAGCCGCTGATGAGGGAACGCGTTTCGGAGGTCTGGCGTTCACAGCGTTGCCCTAAGTCAAAAGCGGCATGGCAGGACAGAACACAAGTCCACTTTCGGGCTGCTCCAAGCCCCTGGATGATTCCGTTTGACCTCTTTTGCACCCTATCCAATTCTGGAAAAGGCGGCTGCACTCCGGACAGGAGGTGAGCCCCGTTAATGAGGACACTAAGGCGCCTCAATTACTGTCCAGCGGGGCCGGGGCCGGGGGGGGCAAGAGGGAGGAGGAGGAAGGCGAGTGTGCGGGATTTCCCTCCCCCTAGTGGCTCAAAGCAGCAACAGCAGCCTCATGTTCCCGGCTTCCCCATGGCGGTTCCGCCCGCGAAGGCTTCGCAGAGGGAGGGGGGGTAACCGCTTAGGGGGCGGGGCCTCGTCCAACCCGCTGGCCTTTCGGTTTGAAAGAGGAGCCGCATCGCTTCGTGGATTCCCGGGCACGACGGCTCTCGCCGGGGGTGGGGAGCAGCCATGCCGGTGGGTGATCTCCAAGGGGGCGAAGCAGGGTTGAGGCCAGGATAGGGCGGGGGCGGGAGCGGAGGCCAGGGGCGGTCGGATGGAGGGAGGCTGCTGGGAAGTTTCCGTGCAGGTCTGGCTGCTGCCTTCCACGTATATATATATATATATTATATGCTCGTTGCTTCCCATTCGGGGAAGGGAGGATCCTTCCCTTTTCCTTTTGAGGTTGCCTGGTTATCGGGGGGGGGGGAACCGAAACGAGGGCAGAACGCGCCCTTTGCGCACCCCAGTGTTTGAAACGTGCTCCCCAGAAGTCTGCCTTTCTGGGGACACCATTCTCCCTTTGTGTGATTTTCCCCTGCTCTGGATCGGAGATGCGGGGAGAAGGGCTAGGCTTTGCCACTGCCTGCTGGGTGTAGCTTTGGTCAAGTTACTCAAGAATTATTGATAGTTCTGGACAGGTTTTTAAAAATATATATATATTCACTGCATTTTAACATTTATCGAACCTGAAACGGTATCAGGTTTCAAGTGCTATGAATGTTAATCAAGAAAATCAGTTCACTGGTCAGATATCAAACCCAAACGTCAATAATAATCACCAGGGAGGGGGATCCAGTGCTCCTCCTGGATCTTCATAAATCTCTGAAGGGGGTCAGACGCCTCTCTGGGGCAGTTTTAATCGCCCAAGTTTGAGGCGGGATCTGTCAGCCTGGTGATTTTGGCCACCTGCTTGCTTTTCAGCACACATTTTGTAAGGCATCTTTTGACAAAAGCCAGTGGAATTTAAAACTGTTTTGTCTCATCCTTTTCAAAGAGCTGGTTGTGCTACTCTCTTTCAGCATTCATAACAAAAGTGTGGTGGCACTTACGAGCCGAAGAGATGTATTGTTGTGTGATTTTTCATGAATTACAACCTACTCCTTCAGACATATGGAATGAAATATTTAGCCACTGATTTATATATAAGTGTATATTATGGGGACAGGAACCCAGTGAATATGGGTACAGGTGCAAAAATGAAATTCCAAAGTGATCATAGCATTATTATAAGTAATGAACTTTGAGAGTACTATACAGTATAGAGTAGTATCAATATGCCGATATAGCACAAATAGTTAATAGATAAGTTGCTATCCTTGTAAAAGCTATGCTTACCTTGTAAAACTACAATAACTATGCCAACACATTTCATTTTATCTACACTACTGGTTCTTAACCTTGAGTTACTCAGGAGTTTTGGACTGCAACTCCCAGAAGCCTTCACTACCAGCTGTGCTGACTGGGGTTTCTGGGAGTTGCAGTTCAAAAGCATCCGAGTAACAAAGGTTAAGAACCACTGATCTACACTCTCAGGGTCTGCTAGTTGTTCTAATAACACTAGTCAGCACATATTTTATTACACTCTTTATTTATCAGCATTGTTGATGAATTATTGCTAATTATTACTACTATTAGTATTACTATTATTCCTTTGGAATTCCGTTTTGGTGCCTGTTATCTCTCTTCAAGTGGCTGAATGGCTTAGTGAGTTAGGCTGCAGAGAGGTTAGGAGTTTAATTCCCAAGTGTGCCTCCTGGGAGAACAGCCAGCCTATATAGCCTTGGGTAAGTTGTACAGTCTCAGAGTGACCCCAGAAAGAGAGAGTGATAAACCATTTCTGAGTACTTTATAAATAGAAAACTCTGGAAAGGGTTTCTATAAATTAGAACTGACCTGGAGGCATGTAATTACTGTATTAGTATCTGTTTTCACTGGTTCTTTACCCTTACAGTGTACATTTGTACATAAAACTGGCTAAATATTTCCAGGTGTCTGATGAAGGAGACTGTAATCTCTGAAAATTCACACTAAAATAAAGCTGTTGGTCTCTATCTTTGTTTTTGTGTTTATATATCTGCAGTATACATTGTTTCACAGCTGTAGGTTTTTGTCACTTGTCTTAATCTAGTTTCCAGAGGAGTAGTGTTTTTGATCAGTTGCAGCAAAACTGACAGCACCATGTGGTACTTCCAAGTCTAATGCATATATTCTAGCATGTGTGTATGTGGCTCTCAGCCCTCTTTACCTGCTGCATACCATAATTAAAAAAAAACGTTGCTGATAAGGGTATTAAGAAGAACCATGTGCTATTCAATTCTGTCTTATACGAACCATGTTCAGGGTTTTCCAGGTAGGGAATAAATATTCAGAAGTGGTTTATCATTCCCTTCTTCTGGGGGTCCCCGGGACTGGGTAGCTTGCTGAAAGCCACACAGGCTGGTGCTATTCTCAGGAGGCACAGCTGGGTAACCAAACTCCCAGCTTCTGGCTCTGCAGCCAGATCCCTCAACCACTGAGCTAGCCACCCAGCTGTAAAGGGTGCTACAAGAACTCTATTGTCTTCTGCAGTTTGTGACTTTCTTGAAAACACCCTGATGCTCCTTTAGCACCTTTGGCTGTAAGTGAAGAAGGAGATGAAAAAGATTTTTTTTCCTTGCTCGGAAATGAGAGTTGCCAATGGAATTTGCTTCAGACATTGGGCAAGTTAGTTTTTTTTTTAAATCAGAATTGCCAGTTCCCGTGTCAGTTGGAGAATTTTTGGATTTTCTACAGCCTCCAAAGTAACTTTTCCAGGTTTGGCTCCAGCCAGTAAGAATTCCACCTGTGATTGTGTCAGACTGTGCCTTAAGATAAACCTAACTTAAGCCAGTTGAACTTTAAGCCCAAGATGCTGACCACAGGAAACAGTTTCCCCTCCTCCCTACCTCACAAAAGGTGCGACCTCCTACCTCTGCAAAACTCTAGTCACTCCTTTCCTAGAGCAAATTCCAGTGTTGTATTCCAAGCACATCAGCTCTCTGGGGTTGGTTCCCATCAATGTGTTACATCCAGACTGCAAATCTGTGTTGTTTGGGGAGGTAATTTTCAAGGAGGGCTGGTATAGGGTCCTCTACACGGTGCTCTTGGCGTCCAAGCCCCCTAAAACACTTTTTTTAACTTATGTGGAAAGAGCTGTTTGTCAAGGGTTGTATCGGAGGAGATGAAGACCTGAGGCACACCTGCTGCTCTGTACGAGGGTGACTCAGCCTGTAGACTTTTTAATCTTTCTGTACATGAAGTTGGGTGGGAGAGTCCTACCATTAGGCGGAGTGAGGGTGCTCTGTCAGGCGGTGGATACTGAACAGACAGAGCCATGTATACCACACAGCCTTCCCTTTGCTTTCTTAAATTTCCTTAGTAACTTGCCATCAAATGGTATAGAGGATGCTGTCCTCGTACCAGTGCTGACTCTCTGGCCAACCTGATAGGGTTGAGTAGATGGAGAGATACCGTCTTGTACCCCAGCCACAGAGCCTCTTAAAGGTGAAAGCGACTGAAGATCCCTGGAGTTTTTTCTTTCTTTCTCGCTCTCTTGTGGCATCAAGGCTCTCTTTCTGTTCTTTCTGCAAAGTTTGTTTGTTCATCTGGCCTGAATTCCTGGCATTTCTCCCAATTTCAGCCCTTTGAATTGTGTCCTCAGCAGTACCAGGAAAAACTGGTTAGTCATTCTCAAAGGCTGGCTTCTTATTTCAGTTTCCCTCATAGCCTCTTGTACAGAATGCGACAGAGCCACACACGCTTATCAAAAAGGAATCATTCATTTTAGTATAAATTGAATTTCTTTACTTTGGGGGGAGGGGAGAGAAACCCAGTATTTTAACCTCTTTTCTGCAAAAAAAAAAAAATAGGCAAGGGAAAATTTAAATAAAATATACCTTTTTGTTTCATTTTTTGTATAAAACTCAGTCAACAGCCTTCTGCCATTAAATACTTCTTTTCAGTGGGGTAGTGGGAGATCTACAGATTGAGGAAGGCTGACATAGTGACTATGGCACTAACCTTCCCTAGCCTAGCACTCTCCAGATATGTTGAAATATAACTCACAACATATCTAAACAGCATGTTAATTGGTCGGGCTGCCTGGGGTGATGGGGGGAGTCCAGCAAATGTGGAAGGGGGAAGGTTGAGCAAAGCCACGGTGTGCCCTTCTAAAGAATCTTTTATAAATCCCTTAGTGCTGCAGTTTTTTTAGCTCTCTGTTTAGGCTTATTTGTTTTCTATGGATGAGATTTCCTTTTAGGAAGAAAAGCTGTTTTGCCCTATAATGAAATGCCATCAATTGCTTCTGAAAAATTGCACTCCCTTTTCCTTTCCTGAAAGAAATGTCACAGGTGGGCTGTCCCTGAGCACCAGGTCTACATTTTTACAAATCTACTCTGCGTCTCTGCTGTTGGAATAAAATTAGGGCAGTTCAGCCAGAGTGAAACAGAAAGCAACATTACTGTAAAAATTTGCTGAATTGTGAAGTAGTATGTTGAACTATAACTCACAACATATCTAAACAGCATGTTAATTGGTCGGGCTGCCTGGGGTGATGGGGGGAGTCCAGCAAATGTGGAAGGGGGAAGGTTGAGCAAAGCCACGGTGTGCCCTTCTAAAGAATCTTTTATAAATCCCTTAGTGCTGCAGTTTTTTTAGCTCTCTGTTTAGGCTTATTTGTTTTCTATGGATGAGATTTCCTTTTAGGAAGAAAAGCTGTTCTGCCCTATAATGAAATGCCATCAATTGCTTCTGAAAAATTGCACTCCCTTTTCCTTTCCTGAAAGAAATGTCACAGGTGGGCTGTCCCTGAGCACCAGGTCTACATTTTTACAAATCTACTCTGCGTCTCTGCTGTTGGAATAAAATTAGGGCAGTTCAGCCAGAGTGAAACAGAAAGCAACAATATTGTAAAAAATTTGCTTAGTTGTGAAGTGGTATGGAATACTGTTTTGAAAATACATGGAGATACATATGGTAAGCCTCCTGAAAGAAATGTCACAGGTGGGCTGTCCCTGAGCACCAGGTCTACATTTTTACAAATCTACTCTGCGTCTCTGCTGTTGGAATAAAATTAGGGCAGTTCAGCCAGAGTGAAACAGAAAGCAACATTACTGTAAAAATTTGCTGAATTGTGAAGTAGTATGTAATACAGTGGTGCTTCGCATAGCGAGGTTAATCTGTTCCGGATTAACCTTCGCTATAGCGAAACATCGCTGAATGGGGCAGGAAAAGCCATTGGAACACATTAAACTGTTTAATGTGTTCCAATCGGCTCCTTTACTCACCGTTCAGCGATGTTCCAGGATGGCCGGCAGCCATTTTTGTGCCCTCCCCTCGCTTAACGAGGGTGCGAAAACGCTGTGCGCGGCTATTTGGGGCCATTTCAGGGCTTCCGGCGGCCATTTTGGCCGCCAAACAGCTGATCGTCAGGGCTTCGTTTTGCGAAGATCGGTAAGCAAAACACTTACCGATCTTCGCAAAGCGAGTTTCACCCTATCTAAAAGTCGTTGAGCAATCGCATTAGTGATCCCAAAAAAGGGATCGCTATGCGATTTCGTCGTTGTACGGTGTGCTCGTTAAGCGAGGCACCACTGTACTCTTTTGGAAATACATGGAGATACATAAGCCTTCCCTCCATCAACAGTGGTTTGGGCTGATGGTGTAGTCCCGAAGAAACAGCATCTCAGATTCGAACAAAACACTGGCTTGAACCAAGTTACAGCAAGCAATACTTCTGTGCTCGTGTTCTGTGGAGCATGCAATAAACCAAGATTAATTTTGCTGACATTTCAAGCATCCTGGGCAAAGGAGTCCAATCCTAATCCATCAACCTTTGATATTACCCTATCACAGAGAAGTCTGGAGTACAGTTTCTATCACCATTGGACAGCATGAATAGTAAATGGGAGATGGGTGGTTGTAATCTGCACATCCAGGAGGGGCCAGATGGAGGAAAGTTGGTCTACTGACTTTTTATTTCATAATCACTCTGTTACTCTGTCAGATCTGTTTCAATGGTCTCCCCAATCATTTTTTTTCCTGGTAATTTTAGAAACATGAGTTCTTCGTAGACATGACCTGCGAAGGATGCTCTAATGCTGTCACCCGTGTTCTCAACAAGTTGGGAGGTGAGTGGTTCTTAGCAGATTTCAGTGCTAAGATTTCTATGGTATTCTTTTGGTCCTTCACTGTTTTCATGAGTTAGTTATGTTATTTTGGTTATTAAAATTCCTACAATTCTATTCCTCTCAAAACCAAGCTAATTTCTCAAAGGGTTTATTATGTTTTTTAAAAAAATTTCAATTCCATGTGTGTTAAATAGAAAGTCCCCTGAAGAATAAGAGACACAGAGAGAGAGAAAAAAAGTGAAAGTGTGTGTGATTGGGGACAAATCTGGCAGGATGTGCTGCTATCAAGGCTCAAAGATCCCTTATATTTACAGTATATATTAGAATACACATAAGTTCATGCATGTGCTGGTAGTGGACACCAGATAATAAAAGAACACATTATCAATCTGTACATGTGCACAGTTCCTTTTCATAGGCAGATGATGTAAACATGCTACCTTGTAGACTGTAGATTTAGAGTTTCTTGATAGTGATGTTACACACATTTGTATAGGGTGGCACCATTCCCTCTTCATGGACAGATGATGGCTATGTTCCATATGTATAATGGTAAATGTGTGCAGTTCTTACACATGTGGGTCATTCCCATGACATATATACCTAACAGGCAGCTTCCCAGTGTATGCCATGGGAATGAACTAGTATGTCAGACAATCTGCAGAGCAGGAGGAATTTCTGTGTAGAAAATCCTTAATATGTGGTGTGGTCCTTTCTGGGAATACTCTTCAGTGCCAAACATTGAAACCAGTTCAGGCAGGAGATTAGTTTCCTGGTAATTTATTAACATCTGTAGCAAACTTGGATCTCTTTCTCCAGAAGCAACTACACAACCCCCAGGGTACTCCAGGAGTTTAGGAGCAAGGCTTTGCTGTTGTAAACAGAATGAAGTTTACTAGACAGTTTTTTAGTCTAGAAGAAGAAATTTGGCCATTGTGAAGGGGATCTGTACTGTCTCTCTCACACACTAAGAATCGTGGCTTGTTGGTTAAACTTTGTCTTATAAGAGAATCAATAATTAGTTACTGACCAACTACCTCTATTAGGAGGATGGCAGCTTTTAAGGGGCTGCTTCCCATTTTAGCTCCAAGAGAGAATGACATGAAGTCTGCATTGGAAAGGCCCTCCTTTAGGTCCACAATGGAAATGAGTGGCTTTCCAGCTGTTGCTTGACTGCAGCTCCCATCAGCTCTAGCCAGTGCTGCCAGTGGCGAGGGAAGATGAGAGTTGGCGTTCAGCAGCAGCAACTGAAGGAGATCCATGGCAACAGATGTCCCTACTTTATGTGGAGTCCTATAAGGCAGGGGTCATCAGCCCCAGGTCCGCAGCCCGGTGCCGGTCCATGGGCCTCCTTTAACTGGGCCATGGACACGGATCTCTGCCCCCTGCACACATGCATGGGGGGCATGTTGCACTTGCAGAGGGGTGTGTCATGCTTGTGGGTGGATGTGTTGCGCTTGCAACAAAATCTGCCTGGCTTTCAGCCCAACCTGGAGTGGGAACAGCAGTAGTGGTGGCACCTACACGGCAAGCGCGGGACTTCCTCCCCATCTCGTAGGGGCTGGGTCCCGTCTGCCCCCCCTGAAGCTCCCACGCATCCAGAAGGGGAGCCCTCTCCCTGCCTAGCAGTCTTCTCCCTCAGGGGTTGGCACCACCGGGGCTTCTACTTTTATCTCTCCCCCCCCGCTCTTCGCGGGTCACCTGGCGAGGCTGCTGCTGCTGTCACCTCGTCCTCTCTGTGGTTGAGGTGAAGGAGGGGCCCCGCTCGCAACCTGGCTGCGCGCTTCTCCTTCCTCCCACCTGGCGCTCCTCCACTCCCTGCCCAGATGTGCCGTGGGAGGGAATGATGCCGAGAGAACATTTTCGCGTGTGCTCCCCACCCCCTGTCTCCTTTCACAACCTGCCCAGGAGAGTTCACACCCGTCCATCTGTCTGTCTTGACCAGGGGTGTCAAACTCAAATTCATCGGGGGCCGCATCAGCAGTTTGGTCCCCATCAAAGGGCCGGTTGTATCTGTACTGATGGCCTTGCAAGGACCCCATCCGACTTGGTGAGAAAAGGAAGGAAGAGAAAGTGTGTGTGTGTGTGTGTGTGTGTGTGTGTGTGTGTGTGTGTGTGTGTGTGTGAGAAGGAAGAGAGAGTGCGTGTGTGTGTGAGA